CAAGCATGCCCACTGGCTTAGAGCGCGTTCTTTTGACCGCTTCCTATAAGACGAATAAACAGGATAAACTGCATAAATTGCAGTTATTGACTTGCTCAGGCATTTATTTCACATTGTAAACAATTATTGGATGAGGTTTTTGTGATATCTGGAACTGGGCATCACAAAAACCGAACCTAAACCTGCTTTATTAAACATTGTTTTGACGAAAATAACGACAAACACATCATCACAGGAACACACTTTGGTCTTAAGTTAAAAATTGAATCATACATTGCGCACGCAACCTACAGATTAGTGAGTAATCTGCTAGCAGATAACTAACTAATCTGCAGGTTGCGTTGATTCAAAATTAGCCACAGGTTCTTAGCCAATGCGAAGACAGACAGTGAGAACAATGTATAATAATAAGAGATATTCAGACACATGACGAACTTTAACATGAATTATTTTTATTTTCAGGTGTTGAAATACTCTGATGTTCTCCCCGAAAATTCCTATTCCCTTGGCTCTCCGGGCATGCGCAGTGTCCCTCTTCAGTTCGAGTTCCCATGCTGCGTAGCAAGTTACAAAGGGCACATCTATGCCGCTGACCGCAATAACTGTCGTGTCTTAGTGTTCGACCCTGTTGGGGAACTAATTCGCCAACCAATAGAATTCGGAAACACGGGACCCGTGGCTATTGACGTTAATAAACGAGGGAACATTGTAGCTACAGATTCTCAGATAATTAAAGTTTTTAGCTCCGATGGTGCCCTGTCCCATAATTTTCTTCCAGTCTACAGTAAAAAGGACAAACGTCCAGAAATATCTGCTTTGACCCTAGACCGCGATGGAAATATTCTAGTGGCGGACAGACCAAATCACAGAATACAGAAATTTCGAATCGACGGACATTTCCTCTGCTTCATTGGTGGTTCCATGTATCTGCAGTATCCCAGCGGTGTAGCCGTCACAAAATCGAATGACGTCATCATTTCGGAATGCGAGAGACATCAACTTAAACTCTTTCGTGAATATTCAAAGTCGTTTACAGTCATCGGTCGAAGCGGGGCTGGAAAAGATCAATTAATGAACCCTAGGGGACTAGCTGTAGATAACGTGGGAAATATTCTAGTAGCTGATAGCTTGAATCACCGTATTCAAGTGATTGATCCAGAGGGAAATTTCATCGCTAGTTTTGGAAGGCTGGGTTCAAGTCCCGGCTGCTTGGATACCCCATATGCAGTAGCTGTCAATCGTTGTGGCCACGTGATAGTTGCAGACAGTGGCAATCATCGAATAACATGTTTTACGTAGTCACATTTCAAAAAGAGTGAAGTTAGGTGCCAAGTAATACAAAACACACCACCATGATTAGTTTCAGTCGCATTTGATATCATCGAGAACCACTGCAAGCCTCAAAAGGTGGATGTTTCCGCTGGAACATATTCACATACTCCTGGTAAATCTACCTGAATTGACTCTATGTTTTAAGACGACCTAAACCCCTCAATAAAACTGAGTACAAACAAATTAGATTGATTGTTCATTGTATTGACATCTCTCTTGCAACTACTGCATACTTATTAAAGGTTGTTCAACAGTTATCTTTTCACAACAGCTCTCAATTTATTCCTTGTTTCGTTTACCCACGAAAGGACCTCGAAAGGGGTTAGAGAGCGAAGGAGGGAAAATCTCAGGGGAAAGAGAGGTTGTTGTAGAAACGATGTCTAATCGCTTCACTCTAAAAGTCGTTCCACTGCATCATCAAGAAGATTTGCTTTAAAGCGAAAAACTGGAAACTACTGTAAGTAAGCTTCGGGCCATTTCCCCAGCACTAGCCTGTGTACTCTTTGTTTTTCCTACCCTCCCCTCCCGTCCTGACTTGTTCTAAGGCAAGTTTAAAGCTGAGGTCACGCCTGGAGGGACATCACTTTGCCAAAGACGGCAGTAGGGGAAAGGATCGGATGGGAGGAAAGTCTTTCCTCCATCCGGTACTAGGTTGGGTCCATATTTTTCACTGTCAGAGCACAATTGTTGAAAATTGCTAATGAGAAAATGACAAAAATGTCAGTAAGACGGTCTCTTTGAAGCTTTCTGTTTAGTATTTTCCTGTCTGTTGTTGGGTGTGCTGTGCAAAAATTCGCGGGAACGACCCCGCGGGAACAGCTTTTAAAATAAGGCCAGGTTACCAACGCAAACAACATGGCGTTTGACCCGAGTGGGATTGCAGCACTTTCCGAACTGTTAAAATCACCAGAAGAGGACGACGATAGCTCTGATGTAAGATAGAAAAATACTGCTTAAACTTTTTCTTTGAGCCTGGATGAAATCTAAAAGTCTTATTTGTTATCCTTGATCGCAGGACGAAAAAAAGCCAGGAAAGAAACTCGTTGCTACGGCGAACCCGGGAAGNAAGTCTTTCCTCCATCCGGTACTAGGTTGGGTCCATATTTTTCACTGTCAGAGCACAATTGTTGAAAATTGCTAATGAGAAAATGACAAAAATGTCAGTAAGACGGTCTCTTTGAAGCTTTCTGTTTAGTATTTTCCTGTCTGTTGTTGGGTGTGCTGTGCAAAAATTCGCGGGAACGACCCCGCGGGAACAGCTTTTAAAATAAGGCCAGGTTACCAACGCAAACAACATGGCGTTTGACCCGAGTGGGATTGCAGCACTTTCCGAACTGTTAAAATCACCAGAAGAGGACGACGATAGCTCTGATGTAAGATAGAAAAATACTGCTTAAACTTTTTCTTTGAGCCTGGATGAAATCTAAAAGTCTTATTTGTTATCCTTGATCGCAGGACGAAAAAAAGCCAGGAAAGAAACTCGTTGCTACGGCGAACCCGGGAAGTATAGGCCCGCCGAAAAAGATAGAAAAACCTGGTGAGAATCTTATAAGCAGTGACAAAATGTTTTCCTTAGATGAATAACTATTGTAAAAGTCCACCTGGAAAGATTTCCGCTTAGCCCATCATATCATTATGCATACAACTCTCGACTCTCTTTATATAATAACTGTTTGTGTGAAGAAATAGTACGCGATTGCTGCATGCATAAGTTTAATAGACCTATGGGACTATACGGAAATGCTTCTATTTAGAATGTGGACGCGAGAAAGAAGTCTTGATGGCAAAGATAAAGACTTAATCAGTACCGAGGTCGTTATAATATGAAGTTTTGTTTAGTGATCAATGACATACGCACCACATTGATTTAAATAATTAGGTAAAGAAAAATCAACAAAGTAAAACAGAACAATAAGAACATTCGAGCCTACAAGCACGCCGGGGCAGCTCTTACCCTCTCTGATAAATATTTCTTCCAGTCTTTATTGTATAGCAGGTTCTGTGAATAGCTTTGGTAGGTGCACGTTGTCGTCAAGTTGTTTTTGTTAATCTTGTGTTGTGATTCAGCTCTCCAAGCAGGCAATGGGCCTGTCTTTCTCTCACAGGATCCTGCAAGCAATAAATATCATTCTCTCATCCCACTGGCTCCAAAACAACTTTCAGGCACCACCAAACCTCTCACCACTAAACTCTCCTCCAATCACTGAGGGTGAAAGCTTGCTTTTAGGATATAAAGTCATTTACAATAGATATTGAAAAATTATAGTTATATTAATAATATCCTCTCCCCTTTTAAATAACGAAACAGAGTTTAAGAATTCCAACTGACTAGAGTCCAACCAGTTGGCTCTTGACAAGAGTGGCACATCAACATCAAAATTGAATCATCTAAGGGTCAGGGCAGGACTTGAACTTGGGTCCACCTAACCTCCAACTGCTCAGCCACGCTGCCTCACATTGACTCTGTCATCACTGGCAAGATGGGTGTCGTTCCTGCAAGAAAAAATTCTGTAGATGTTATAAATCTTAAATGGTTGAGATGGTTGGGTGTTTTATCCATATTTATCTTGCAACTTCCTCTCAGACCATTAAAATGTATCCAGCTACTTTGACCTTAAGCTTTGTCAAGAATGCATGTAAATAATTATTGAACTGGATACTTAGGATGCCTTCCAGAGTCAAAGGAAGCAACAGACAGCAGGGATATTTGGAGTGAAGCAGAGATACCAGAGGGAGGTCATGGTGAGGATGAATTTGACCCAAGACCAGCCCCAGAGTAAGTAAACTGGCCAATAAAAGCTTACTCACAAAGAACTCTTGATTTTAGCACTTCCTTGTGGTACTTTATCCCACAACTATTTATTGACCTTATAATAGGGTGTTGCCAGTTCATTGTCTCTCAGGTGATGTTTTACTGCCAAGCATCTGCTCACAGCATTATGCTTACAATTTGTAACCTCTAGTTCTATTCTGTACATTAAGCTTGGTTACACATTAGGCAATGTGATTTTGTGGCAGGGACAAAACACCTCATGTGTACTGATAAAATGCAACAGCCAAATCATGGTCCATCAAGGATCTGGGATAAACTTTGAAAAATCAATCCAGTTTGACTTTATGCAATTTCTCACTGCAACTTTGCAGGTATGAAATGGTGTTCAAGCAAGCAGTGACTACAGAGGATATGTATCTACAGATGACTGGCAGAAATCCATCTACTGCAAGCTGTGAAGATTTAGTGGTAGGTAAATCCTAACAATGCTCACAGAATATGTTTGTGAAAAATGACTGCTCTCAGCGTAGCTAAGTTGAGTTTTTAATTCCAGTGGCTACAGTAGTTACTGCACTCAACATCAGTCCCTGGGTCAAAGCTGTTGCTCGTCTCTAGAACCATTGTAATTGAAATAATAAACAACACTTTACCTAAAATTCAAAGTCACAGTTTTACAACAGCCTAATGTGAATAGCAATGTGTGCTTGAAAACGTTCTTTCTTTTTAACTTAATCACAAATTTAAAGATAAATAAATAAATAATTGAACAACTGAAATTATTAATATCAATTAGATATTCTTTTTTTTTTGAAGAGCTAGGTCTCTTAATATCTGTAAATGATAAAGCCAAGAAGATTCCATGCAGTCTTAGGTTTGACCCAATTTTTAGCTTTCCCTTGCATTGGCCTTGCAGATAAAAATCAAGCTTCCAGATACAGAGTACAATGATGTTAATTTGGATGTCACAGACACATTTCTCGACTGCAGAACTCCTAAATAGTAAGTGAAAATAGAAAATGGAATTAAAAGCTCGAGACCATTAGGACCAGCGTAAGCTGTGACAGAAGCTATTTCTGCCTTAAAGAGAGTTGAGTTACCCAGAAAATATCAAAATTGGCTTGTGCAAATGAAGAAGTAATATATTTTGTGGAGACAAAATCCAGCTTGATGAGGTTTTTAATTAGCTACTTAAGCATCCCTCTTAAAAGAAATGTCTAACAGGGGTATCCACCTTCCACGGGAGTGGCCATCTTACAAGACTGTCCATGTTACAGAAGCAACCTCTTTGTGTTCCCTTGTCCCAACACTGCCCACAGCAGTCAAATGAGAGGAATGTTAACAACCCTACCCCCAATGATCTCTCCAAGTTGTCACAATGTTGTTTTTAAAATATCTTTCCACACAGTTAATGCTATTATCTTTTTCAGCAAACTTGGTGTACATCTTCCCCACCCAGTGGACAGTAAAAATGGCAAAGCACAGTGGGACAAAGACAGGGAGCTACTAACAGTCACAGTGCAACTTGTTCGAGAATATGACTTCCTCACAAAGTGAAAGATAAGAACTTCAGTGTTTTAGTAAAGCATTCTTTGGCTTGGTTCAATATCAGGGTATTACAAGATTTGTAAGAAAAAGAAATGTTGCTGGTTGGTATCCAAGAATAGCAATGGCCATGATGTTAACTCAAGGCTGTGTTTCTCCAAGATTCTGTGGCTATTGTCTGGATTCATTTACCTCGTGTCTCTCCATTTGCAAAAGGCATATTTTTTCTCCTGCATGTTTCTTGTCAATGATTGATGAAGAAAGTGTTAAGTGCAGTGTTCAGGACAATGGAAAGTCATGAAGATAGGATAATTCTCATCCCCAGAGCCCCTCTGTCCTTTTAGCTGATGGAGGCCTGGGAATACAGCTCATACCCAACAGCTAAGTGGGGACAGGTGCCTGCTAGTGAAAGCAGTGAACGTTTGCATCAGCAGGATAGGATCAAGTTGTTTTATGGACCGTCACAGTGAAGTGGTGGTTATCTGCTCTTTCTGATGGTCAAAACTTTCCACTGGGCTAAAATGTGCCAAATGAACCCGTTGATGCAATAAGAATGGACTGAAATAATTATATGAAACTGGTTAAGGCTTTTATGATCAGAAATTTACAGTCAATGAAATAATTTTTTGCCATAAGAACTGAGTTATTCCAACGAAACAAACTTTTAAACAAACATATTAGAATTAAAAACAGTATTCTCAAACTGTGACTAATTCAAACAGAGAAAGCAAAGGGAATTTCTACCATGATAGTGGTTTGGATATGTGCTCCTTTCAACATTCTCAGCTATTTTACAATTCATGAGAAAGACATAATAATACTAATTTTTTACTTATAAGAATCACTTTTAAATAGTTTTGTATGTATGAGCTCAAGCATGCTGTAAAAACCACTATCATAAATTGCCAATAAGGTCACATAAATTATCTAGATTTCCATCACTGTAGTGATCTAGTTGTAAATGTACGAATTTCTTCTGTCCCGAATTTTTGGATGTGAAAAAGGCTCGGGAGCAAGAGCGAAATCAACAAAGATGTCATAATGTAATAATTTCGCTTTATTTATCCTGTCAATAAAAGAACTTAAATATTTAACTTTAACCGAAACTTCCAATGGAAACTACATTTTCCACTGACGTATGCCCCATAAATCTTACAGGCTTCTGAACTCTGTACTCATCACATCTTCCGCTCAAACTTAAGGAGGCAAGGCAAACATATACAACAATAACCTTGCAACAGGAACAATTATAATGCAAGTCTTTTTTTTTTTTCATCTAAAGGCAACAAGACAACAAAGCATCTTAACATTTTCTGAACAATGTAACAATCTTTCGTCATTGCCATTAACAATACTCAGACCTTAAAAATGACACTTTAGACTTTAAGAGCCACATCCACTATAGCACAACGTTGCCTTCACAAAGGCAAAGGAAACAAAAGGCTTGCCCTTAATGAATTTCTGGCATGATATCTGTCTGCACAGCATAGAATATTCTCAAAACAACAACACGTGGTTCAATCCAGTATGGTGTGAACACTGATTGAGTACCGTGTAAACAGAATATTCCAAATCTAGTACATTGTTCCTCAACCAAGGACCTTCTCGTACATGTATATCCTTGCTCATGGCCTAATGCCGGAAAAGCTCTAAAAATAACGCAACATGTTCTCTTTTGGTTCAGGCCCACCTAAGAAATGATTAGCAACAGTAGTTAAGTCAAGACTGTCTGAAGCGTGTCTTGTCTCGCGGCGCCCGTCTCCCACGGTTTCTCTTCTTGCCCTTTCCTCGTCCACCTCCTTTTGCCCCACCTTCTTTCGGCATACGCAGATCTAAGATGTCTTCTTCGTCACCGTAATCTTCAGTCTCTTGCAAGTCGTCGCGTTTTTCCGCCTTGTCATCAGCTTCGCGCATCTTGTGTAGGTCTATGAATAAGAGAGGGAGATGGTAAGGGTTGATCATGCCCCCAGCGGGGAAGGGGGGGGAGGGACTCCCTATCATGGCCTATACGGCTATACGGGGAGGTTCCGCCCAAAAGGGGTACCTTTAACAGGCATATGAAAGGGTAGGGAAATCTGTCACGGACTAACATGCATTTTATGGCTGTGAAAAAGTCTAGAAAACGTGTGGTTTAAGGATGATTCATATCTTAAAGACAGTGCATTTTTAGCGGTTAAAAGGGATGTAAAGTTCTAAACTAGCTATGTAAGAGGGGTACCATTGTTAATGGAAGGTATACAAAAGGGGTACCTTTTCTGCAAAAAGAGGTACATAGAGGGGTAAGGAGTTGGACCTCGGGGTGGAGCCTCCCCATATGAAACTTTGTTAAGTACCCGCAAGGGTCTCCTATCACCCAAGGCTGGAGGGGTTGGACCTCGGGGCGTAACCTCCCCGTACAAAACTTTGTTAAGTACCCGCCAGGGTCTCCTATCGCCCACGGCTGGAGGGGTTAGACCTCGGGGCGGAGCCTCCTCGTATAAAACTTTGTTAAGTACCTATAGCCCATGGTTGGAGGGGTTGCACCTCGGAGTGGAGCCTCCCGTATTTAACTTGGTTAAGGCGTCATACCAATGGTACGTTCTTTTTTCTTACTAAAAACACTGGTTAACTTACATATCTTGTTTAGAACAGCAGGTTTTGCTCATTAGCATTAGATTTGCTCTGTGCCATTATCTGGCCTATCTAATGAAGAGTATCTCCCAGGTAACTACAACAAATATTGAGATGTCTCATTGTGACTGTGGCTGTTGTGCAATAAGCCAGAAGATAAGACGCAAAAAAATCTTCACTAGCGATCTAACACAAAAATACCAAGACATCTTGACTGGACAACCTTGGGCTATAAATGATTTATTGTGACCAAAGGAATCACATGAATTATTTTCTTGCGGAGCAAAATAGGCCTATTTAACCTGCTCGAGTAACCACTAAGAAAACAGGATCTGCTTCATCTTGCTGCGCGAGGGGCAAGCGACATTAAAATACGCCTAAATCTTACCTTGTTGCACAATCCCCTTGACTTCCATGATAGTACCTTCTAGTGTGTTAACTTCATGCATTAATCGTCCAGTGTCGCCCCACTTGCAACACGACTCGATATCCCGGATGCAATCTCCAACGCGTGCACTAATGTGTTCCAAACGTTGTACGTCAAGACCGAAGTCATGCGAACCCAGCCTCTGCCCAGACAAGGCATTCAGCTCTTCGCATAGCTCACTCTCGGCAACGAATAGAGGCCATATCTTGTGAAGATACAGTTGCTTGTAGATGTTGAACTGCTGCAGCATTTGCCAGTGAGAGCTGCCGGGCTGAGTGTGCGATCTGTACGTCTCACCCGTGTTGTGGTTGAATTGCACATTGCACACGCTGCACGCGGAGACGTCTGCTTTGAAGCGCTCAAAACAGGATTCAACCGAGTGGGAAGGCTGCACGGGCGAAGACGTGCGTGTCTGGCTTCTCATCTGCCTGTACCAACGCTGGATGGTGACGGCGGCGGCTTCACGCGCCGATTCCAAGGCACGTTCCCTTCTCTGCTCCTCCAAGTAACCAGTGGGCATCTGAAACTCTGGTGGTAAGTACATATCCGCTGGAGGTTCACCTGCAACGGCTTCTTGAAATTGCCAAGGAGATGCTCCTACGACAAAGGACTGCGTAAAAGAAGAAATGTTCACTTCATCGGTCCACAGCCGGCGGTTGTACCAACGAACCGCAAATAACCGTTCGTTTCTCTCGTAAAGAAGCCGCTGCAGTGCCAGAACCACGTCCTTGACGCCGTCGGCAGCTTGCAACGCCACCAGCGCTTTCTGCACACGGTATGGCAAAAACGCGTGCACGTTGACACCGCGTAGCCCTTCAATAAGCAGGCCACTGGTAGGCGGAATCCCTCTGCCGTAGTTACACAACATTGTCATGGCTAGGAGCAAGACTCTTTCTGTCTCACCAGATTGCACGCGCTCTAAAGCTTTCGTACTGAACGCACTGTTAATTAGGTTAAAGCGGCGGTGGACTTGACCCGAAACAAGCTGCACCATGCATTCAAGCAAACGCTGCACTTGGCAGATTCCTTTGAACGGAGGTATTTTCGAAGCACTAGCTTCTACGATGCTGTACAAGCTGGGGAATTTATCGCTGCCGTAAATGTGCTCCTTTCAACATTCTCAGCTATTTTACAATTCATGAGAAAGACATAATAATACTAATTTTTTACTTATAAGAATCACTTTTAAATAGTTTTGTATGTATGAGCTCAAGCATGCTGTAAAAACCACTGTCATAAATTGCCAATAAGGTCACATAAATTATCTAGATTTCCATCACTGTAGTGATCTAGTTGTAAATGTACGAATTTCTTCTGTCCCGAATTTTTGGATGTGAAAAAGGCTCGGGAGCAAGAGCAAAATCAACAAAGATGTCATAATGTAATAATTTCACTTTATTCATCCTGTCAATAAAACAACTTAAATATTTAACTTTAACAGAAACTTCCAGTGGAAACTACATTTCCCACTGACGTGTGCCCCATAAATCTTACAGGCTTCTGAACTCTGTACTCATTACATCTTCCGCTCAAACTTAAGGAGGCAAGGCAAACATATACAACAATAACCTTGCAACAGGAACAATTATAATGCAAGTCTTTTTTTTCATCCAAAGGCAACAAGACAACAAAGCATCTTAACATTTTCTGAACAATGTAATAATCTTTCGTCATTGCCATTAACAATACTCAGACCTTAAAAATGACACTTTAGACTTTAAGAGCCACATCCACTATAGCACAACTTTGCCTTCACAAAGGCAAAGGAAACAAAAGGGTTGCCCTTAATGAATTTCTGGCATGATATCTGTCTGCACAGCATAGAATATTCTCAAAACAACAACACGTGGTTCAATCCAGTATGGTGTGAACACTGATTGAGTACTGTGTAAACCGAATATTCCAAATCTAGTACATTGTTCCTCAACCAAGGACCTTCTCGTACATGTATATCCTTGCTCATGGCCTAATGCGGGAAAAGCTCTAAAAATAACGCAACATGTTCTCTTTTGGTTCAGGCCAACCCAAGAGATGATTAAAAACAGTAGTTAATTCAAGACTGTCTGAAGCGTGTCTTGTCTCGCGGCGCCCGTCTCCCACGGTTTCTCTTCTTGCCTTTTCCCCGTCCACCTCCTTTTGCCCCACCTTCTTTCGGCATACGCAGATCTAAGATGTCTTCTTCGTCACCGTAATCTTCAGTCTCCTGCAAGTCATCGCGTTTTTCCGCCTTGTCATCAGCTTCGCGCATCTTGTGTAGGTCTATGAATGAGAGGGGGAGATTGTAAGGGTTGATCATGCCCCCAGCGGGGGGGGACTCCCCATCATGGCCTATACGGCTATACGGGAAGGTTCCGCCCAAAAGGGGTACCTTTAACAGGCATATGAAAGGGTAAGGAAATCTGTCACGGACTAACATGCATTTTATGGCTGTGAAAAAGTTTAGAAAACGTGTGGTTTAAGGATAATTCATATCTTAAAGACAGTGCATTTACAGCTGTTAAAAGGGATGTAAAGTTCTAAACTAGGTATCAAACTTTGTTAAGTACCCGCCAGGGTCTCCTATCGCTCATGGCTGGAGAGGCTGGACCGTGGGACGGAGCCTTCCCGTATAAAACTTTGTTAAGTACCTATAGCCCATGGTTGGAGGGGTTGGACCTCGGAGTGGAGCACCAGTACTACGTTCTTTTTTCTTAGTAAAAA